GGGCACAAGAAGGAGGCAGCTCTCTGTGAGTCAAGGAGAGAGGCTTCAGAAGAAACCAAACCTACTGACACCTTGATCTTGGACTTTTTGCTTCTTAGAAATATGATATAGTACACTTTATTGCTGAAGTCCCCTAGTCTGACATTTTGTTATGGCCACCCTAGGTAGGGTCAAGAGTGGCTCTTTAAGGAGGTAACACCTGAGTCTTGAGGGAGACCATTCCAGGCAGAGGGAGCAGCATGCACAAAGGCCCTGATGGAGGCAGGAACTTGTGTCAGAGAAGCAAGAGAAGACAAGCAAGGCCAGAGCCTAGGGAGGGCAAGCCAGGAGAAGTGCAGAGTGCTGCAGGGGCCACATTCACAGGACTGGGAAGGAGCCTGGGTTTTCTTTTCAGTGACAACAAAGCCAATGAGGAGTTTTAATCAGAGAAAGCACATGATTCAAATCCCATTTTAGGAGGCAGTCTGCAGCTATATGTCAAAAGGGAATGAAAGTGGAAGTGAGGAGACCTAGGAGGTCCAGGTGAGAGCAGGGGATGGGGAAGTGTTTGGAGTAAAGGGATTTTTTGGAGACAGACAAGATGGGACTGAAGCAGAAATGCATGTATTTAGTTTCTGCCTTGAGCAGAGATGTGGATAGTGATGCCATTTATGAGGTGAGCTGATGTGAGGATGGCAGTGGTGGGGCTGGGAAGGCCGGGAGTCGGTGGCTGGGAACATCAGGGAGAACCAGTGTAATGGTCTCACACTAGGTGTCGCAGAAGACATGTCTTGATTGTTTCTGGATATGTGAAGTTGGAGACGTTTGTCAGATGTCAAATGGACAGTTAGAACCTTGAGTCTGGAACACATGGGAAGCATCTGGGCTTGTGATATAAACTGGGAGTCAGCAGCACACGGATATTTAATACTGAGGGAATGGATGAGATCATGGAGCAAGAGGACTCAGAGAGAAAAAAAATGGCCCAGGACCAGTCCAGAGGAATATAGCAAGAGGTATTGGCAAAGGATTCAGAGGGGAGTGGCCAGAAAAGCTGGCAGGATACCAGGAAGGCACCAGAAACCAGAGGAAAAAAATTTCCAGAGCACGGTCACTCTGTCAAATATTGCTGGAAGACATTAAGTCAAAGGTAGCCAAGATTACTGGATTTGGTAACATAAAAGTCATTGGCACCTACACAGAATGAATTTGGTGGGTTAATAAGCCAATAGGAATAGCTCTTCCTCCTCTGCTGAGAAAGTACCAACCCTGCACCAATTCCCTGCTCTTCCAACTGGGGTTCCAGTTTAGTCTGTCACTTCTTAGCTCCTTTCTTTGAACTGTTTCCTTATCTGTCAAATTAAGATTGTAAATTTTACTTCCTAGAAGTAATTCAGGGAACTGATGAATGATAAATGGCAATGGCAATAATAATCATCATTACTAGGCTGGGCAAGTGCTCAGTGGTAGAGAGATTGTCTACCATTTATAAGGTTCTGGGTTGCTTCCATACCACCATAAAAACAAACAAAAATCACTACTATAATCCAAATGCCACTACCTACAATTGTTGGAATATTCTCTCTCAGATATGCCATGATCATCTGCCTGATTCTGCTGTCACTGCCACTCTCATTGTAAGCTACAATCACCTCCTACCTGGCCCCTGAATTGGCACCAAACCCTGTCAACTCTTGCTTTCTGCCAGCCCTGATGACATCACTTCCCTAACTAAAACCCTCTGATGTCTTCCCAGTGCTCTGAGGATACAGTGTCCTCACTTGATGGATAAGGTCCTTGGGTGATGGGCCCTGGGTCCCTCTCCAGAGTTAGCTCACACCCTTTCCTCTTCCTCTTTCAGTTCTTCAAGTGTGCCAGGATGCTGTGCCCCTTCCTATGACAGGGCCTTTGCACAAGCTGTTCCGTGTGGTAACCGACCTAGACAAGAGTATTTGTGGTGGAGTAGGCAGCACCCTTCCTTCCTTTTCCCCTAGTTTTCTCCTGAGCTTTTAGCTTAACATTGTTTCCTCAGGGAAACCTTCCTGACCTTCCAGAACAGGTCAGGTCCCCCCAAATTTTTGGGCCTCATTATACCATATGCTTTTTCTCCAGACAATAACTTTTCTTGGTAATTTTATATTTCTTTGAAGAATCATTTGATGTTTCTGCTTCTACTAAGTAGGGGTCTTTGGGCCTTATGGAAGGCAGAAATAAAGGAACACATTAATTCATCAAGCCCCAACAATGATCCTGGAAGAGAGGCAATGGCATCCTTTACTAAAAGAGAAGAAAACTGGATCCAACAGAAAAAGAACCAGGATCCACACTTAGGAAGCACAGGAGCCTCTCCCTGAAGCCTACACCATGCTGTGCCTATGTGAGTGATTCTTCTTTGGTGCCTCACTCTCTTGCTAGGGGCTGGCTGCAGTTCACTTACCCGGAATTCAGGAAATAAAACACACAGAGCTTCTCTGGCAGGGTCTCCGACAGCCTCTGTGCATAATCCACGATGTTGTCATGAAGGTATCTGCTGTTGGTGTTGAGCACCTGGTTCTGTTCATGTGCAGCTTGGACCACGAGAGGGTGGCAGTGCCCGACTGCAAGAGGGTCACCTCCATCAAATGGCCGACTCCACTCAGCCAGTCCCACTGGGCCTCCCCCAGCCCCATTCTGGAAATCCAGCCAGGGGAGACGCAGTTACAAAGGGAGAGGTGGAAAAAGATGAGTTTAAGATGGGAGCGGGGGTGGGGGTGGGGGTGGGGGTGGGATGGGGATGATAGATCTGGAAAGGAAGATCTAGAAAGAAGTTCCTGGGATTCCAGCAGAAGGAAAAGATTCTCTAGCAGAAATCCTATTTAGACAAGCTATGCCTTTAAGGAGGCTTCTGTAGGCCTTTTCCTTGACAGGCAAGGATCAGAGGTGATTGTCACATGGCTTGACTTGACCAGTTGGTGGGGGCTGGAGGTAATCTTGATTGCCAAAGGCCAAGGATAATAACAAGGAACATGCACTAGAGCTTGCCTAACATCAGGCACATTCAAAACTAAATTTTGTTAGTTAACACATATTTCTCCAGAATACTTGGAGGTGAATGTCTAGTAGTACATGGTCTATTATGCAGACGAGCAAACAGGTATAGAGAATGAAATAACTTGTTCAAAATCACAAAGTTGGTAAGTTAGCAAAAACTAGAGCCCTGGCTTTTTAAAAAAATATATATTTTAGTTGTTGATAGACCTTTATTTTTTTATTTATTTATTTTTTTTGATAGACCTTTATTTTATTTATGTATTTATACGTGGTACTGAGAATCAAACCCAGTGCCTCACACATTCGAGACAAGCCCTTTATCGCTGAGCTACAACTCCAGCCCTGAGCCCTGGCTTTTAACCTGTTTTATTCACCTCCATTTTGCCTCCTAATTCATGGACTCCTTTTCTTCCATCAGTTCTGGCAGTCCTAGCTGAGTGACTGAATTTCTGCTTCAATTTCCTTACCAGCACCTGAAATGGTCAATGTAGCTGAATCCCTGCCATAATCCCTGCACTTGGCGATGGCTGTGCTGCAGTGCTGTTCATGGCTGGGCTGTTTGTCACTCTCTGAGCTCATCATCAGTCCCAGGTGGAACTGAATCCACACACCTAGACCTCTGACTCCTGCCTGAGACTTCTACTGCTACTTGACAAAGACTCGGCGTTCTCTGCACATGGATGTGAGTCAGCTCAAGCCAGGCTCTCTACAACTGGCATCAGATTCACAGCCTCAGCCTCCTCTCCTGCCCCACCAGCCTGAGGTGATACTGACCATGAGCCACATTGTTGATGCAATCGATGTATTCTCCCCCTTGTTCATCATACAGGTATTGCCCTTGGCCACGGACAATCTTAACTGGATCCTCAGGGAAAAAAAGTCTGCAGGAAGAGCTGTGGGGACAGACCAGAGGTGGACAGCCATGTCTGAAGACCTGAAGGGACCACCTACCTCCTCACCTCTTTCTGGTTTCTGGAAAGAACAAAAACTTTAAGGACAAAGTGCTCTTTCCTTGCTGCCAGGCTTCTCATTCCATAGTAAAGAAGGAAAAAAATGGGGCAGGAAGTTGCTAAGACTTAAAATTGTTTAAGTCATATTAAGCCTCAGTGGCCTTGCTCATTTCCCTGTGTGCCCACATCAGTTGCTTAGATCCTGGGAAAAGGAACTGCCCCAGTCAGACCCACGGGGACCCTGTATGGCTGTATAAGGAATGGCACCCTTAGGTAGCTGTCTCTCAGCCCTAAAGATTCCTTGTCAGTTAAGTGGCCCTGTTGCCCCAGATGTGTGCTAGTCTTGAGCTCTGGCTGGAGGATGCCTTCTCCTCCCCTGCCATGTCCCATTGAGGGCCCCTCTCGCAGGTCAAGTGCATACTTCCTCTAACGCTGTGAAGGACTCCCCACCCCACCCTCCGTCTGAACTTTCAGCCCTCCCAGGATCACTCTCAAGTCAGGTCCTGGTCGTGCTGACGGGCCACCAGTGGGCGAGGTCCGCCCAGGTGCTAGGGCAAAGGCTGTCTCCCCAGGCGCCCGTGGCGAGAGCTGCGGGGAAGGTGACATCGGTTCCCGAGCCTCAGGGTGGGCCCAGGAGCCGGCGGGAAGCCGCTGCGGGAACCGCCTGCCCAGGACTGCAGAGCTTCAGAACACGAGGGGTTGCGGCCCAGATAAGGCCGGGAGGGAATGGGAAGTCGCGGGCTCTGTGCCGAAGGCGCGCGCGCGCGCGTCGTGCGTGCGCGCGCCTAAGTACCTGAGGAGCCGCTGCCGCAGGGACAGAGTGTCTGCCTTGGCGCGCTGATCGGTGGCCATGGCGCTGCGCTGTCAGTCGGTGCAGAGACGCAGCGCCGAGAGACTAGGCCGCGAGCGCTTGGAATCTAGGGCCCCGCCCCGGCCCCGCCCATGCCTCCCCCGAGACTTTGGCCTCAAGTTTGCATCTCGGGCCCCGCCCCCAAGTGTCCCACTTCGCTTTCGTTCTTTCATTTTGGCAAACGAGCTTCGCAGGCTTCCGGCTAGCGAGTCATTCCTTGTCCTTCTCCCGCCGGGCCGGGTTTGCGTCCGCCCTGCCGAGTGCTGTCCTGGCTTTGGTTCCGGGACGCGCTTTTGGCCTACCCGCTTCACATACCCGTGCCGTTGTCTCCCCTTGCCCCGAAGAAGTGTCCCCAGGTGATCCCTCCGCTGCTCCCAGCGCCCGATTGAGCAGCACTCAATCCTGGCAGGCTACGCTTGGACGAGTTGCCGTCTCCGTGCATAAAAAATGATGCAGTGTGAGGATTAAATGAAAAATGTGCAAATGATATCCACTTGGGGCCTGGTATGCACCAGGGGCGGCAGAGTAGAAGACAGGCCTCTCCAGCTCCTGCAGGAGCAGCAGGAAAGTAGGGCACAACGGGCATTACTGGGGCTAACTAAGGGCTGGACCTGTTTCCTGCTGGAGTCCAGGCGGGGTGAATTTGAGATGATTCAGTGTTTAGACTAGAAGAGAGTTGGGAAGTCTCCTGAGCTGTGTTATATTGTCCAGGAAACTGAGACCCAGGAAGGGAAAGGCCTTTGCTAAAGGCTTGACTCCAGTTTCAGGGAGTGAGAAGAAAAGATCTCCAAGGGATTGGAAGCCTGGAGAGCAGAGAGGTTCTTCCTCTTCCTGGGGGCACGAAGACTTCCTGCCTTGAACCTTAGAACAAGGAAGAACTTGGGACTGCCTCTTGAGGACGCTGGGAAGGAAGGCTTACACTTACCCTTGCTGGTGTGTATCTATCTTCTCATGATTCCCAGCTCTCTGCTTGGCTTCCTGATTGCTGATTTCTTCTTTTCCTCATAAAATTGTAGACTGCTTAAGGCATTTATTAAAGAACATTCTTATATTCTTTTATTCCTTATGTTTTTTATTGTGGTAAAATATACATAACAAACTTTACCATTTTAGCCATTTAACGGTACAATTCTGTGACAGTAAGTCCATTCCCATTGTTGTACAACCATCGCCACCATCCACCCACAGAACTTTGTCATCTTCCTGAACTGAGTTTCTTATTTGTAACTGTACACGATTCTTGAAAAAATTCTAAAATTAACCACGAGAGGTTAATTGTTTATGGCACTTACTTCTTTTTTGAGGGTCAAGGCCCCTTGTGTGTGTGAATGGGACTGCGGTCAATGGTTTTCTCAATGTACTGGCTCCTCCTCTTTGCTGGAGAGACCCATGTTCCTCTATGCCCTGCAGTTTCAGCTTTTAATGTTTTTTTTTTTTTTTTTTTGGTGTATGTGTGGGTGTGTGTGGTGGGGGTGTGGGGGGAGGAAGGGAGAAAGGAGAGAAAGTCCTGCCTGATTTCCATCTTCAGTGTTTTGTCTTACAGCCTAAGGTCCAGCCACAGGCATAGCCTAGGGCAGCTCAGAGCAGTCAGGTTGCCTCAGGGGCTTTCCTGCCTTGGGGTAGAGGGCAAGAAGGCTGTACCCAGGATCAGCGAACATCTTACCTGCCCCTGATTATCTAGGGTCAGGGGCTGATACAGTTGAAGGTCAGACCACACTGGGACATTTCCTGGTTCAGATGATCTATCTATAGCTTCATTCTCTCCCTGCTCAGAAAAAGTCCATTCCTTTCTGCCTCTAGCCCATGCTAAGCATTTTCCCATCCGTTATCTCATGTGTGTCCTTCAAAGCTACACTGGAAGCAAGAGGGCATGGGATAGGAGGTAGGGGCTGAGCCAAGACTTGAACCTGGGGCATGGTGTTTCTCAACTGGCATTCTTAGTGAGATGATTCATTGTTGGGCAGAACTGTCCTGTGCATTTCAAATGTTTGCTGTCCCTGGCTCTGCTTACTGAATGTCAGGAATGGCCTCCAATAATTGTGACAATCCAAAGCCTCCCCTGCATTTCTAGTGGTATCATAGGGATGAGGAGGAAGTAAACTGGGTAAGCCCCCCTCTCCCAGGCCTCAGATTCATCTGGAAAAGGGTATAGTGGTCCTTGCTGTTAGTTTAGCTCTCAGTAAATATGCTTTTCTGTCTTTCGGAAGAGAAAAGATTGAAGCAGAGCTGCCCTTCTTGGCAGGGAGCCCTGAAGCCCCCTTCTCAGTCCTTGAGGCTCAGCATTGAGGCAAGGCGCTCTGCAGTGTCTCAGCTGGGACCTTGAACTAGTCATTCAATCTCCCATAGCCTCTCCTCCTTCACCCGAGCTGACTCAGCAGTTCTACATACTGATGTTGGCAGTTGAGTTTGTATACTGGAGGATAGGAGGAATGGGGACACAAGGGGGCAGCAACGAGCCAAAAATGGTCCCATCCAGTCCAATGGGGTAGTAAATTGACCCCCTTAGTTGTCTGAGGAAGAAAAAAAGTGGCTTCTATCCCCACAAAGATTACCTGTCAGCCACCCAGCATCATGGGGATGCCTAGCATTTTCCATTCCTGCTAAAGACAAATTGGAGAATACCCAAGAGCCTGGGTCCAAGCCTGCCACTCCATCCTGGCCGTGCATCCCTGGGCAGGTGAGAGTCCCCTCTGATGCTCAGTTTTCCCATATGGAAAATGGACATAGTGTCACCTACCTCATGAGCCCCATCCCTCACAAGTCTAGGGAGGATATCAAGTGAAGTTCCTGGTTGGAGGGAGGAGTGAATTGCTAACTGTCAAGTGTAGATTAAGTAGGTTATGGGGACTCAAAAGGAGGCATTGACACCCAGAAGTCTCCACCAGTCATCAAGTTCACTGTGTTTCTCCTCCTTTTCCTACTTCTGGCTTCCCTGGTGAGCCAGTAGACTGGCTAAGCAGCATGGCCTGCTACTTATTACCAGCTCCTGAAGAGGTCAGAGATAGGGACTTGACATATTCCTCCTTCCTCACCCTGAGTATGACTGGGCTGCTGTGCTTAGCAAGGAGGGCATACATTTGGGGGTCTTGTGGTGGGGGCGGGAACTACCCATATTGTAGCCCTCCTTAGGCTCCAGACCTTGGGGAAAGGATGTCTGAGACACTCTACCTATAGGTCCCTTCTTTTCTATACCACCATGGATGTGCTTGGTTTTGTCCTCTGTAAAATGGGCATATTTGCTGGGTCCTTCTCTTAGGGATATTACAAGGCCCAGTTGACATTAGAGCTATGGAAATGCTTTGCAAGATTGGCTCTCGCTTGGTCTTAGAGTGGGGAGAAGAGAGGAAAATCTGAGTCCCAAGTGCTTCAGAGTGTCTGATCAGTCAGTCCTAGATTCTTTCTGTATTCCACAAAGTTGATCCTCATTGAACCACTTAGTGATATGTAATGCTATCTCCTTTTGTAGATGAGGTGGTAGGTGGCATTATCAAAGATGGCTGCTACATATAGTGTCCCACATTTTCTCCTTAAAATACGATGTTGCCACTTTTTTCATTGAGAGGGTGGGTCTACCTCTCTATTTTCAAATTGGGTGAACCTCTGACTCTGGCTGAAAGCAATACCATATAACTTTGGAGGTTTGGGCATAAAAGGTGACACAGTTTCTACCTGTCTTATTCACTTTGGAATCTAGCCACCACGCTGTGAGGAAGCCTGGACTACACATAAAGTCCTGATAGATATTCTGGCCATCTTGGGCAACATCAAGCAACAAATGTGGGAGACTTTCAGTGAACCACCCAGCCAAGCTGATTTACCCTCAGAACTGTAAGAGAAAAACAGAAACAGTCAATACTTTAAGGAAACAAGCAAGTTTCAGGGCAATTTTTTATGCAGCAGTCACTGCTAGCCACAGCAAAGAAGCACACAGGGGTTCCGTGACATGAAGTGACTGGCCTGAGGACTCTGCTGGTGTGTGGTAGGACCTGACCTTGAGCCTATGTCCTTAACTCCCCACATGTCTCCCACCTGATCCTGAGCTACCTCCTTTGTTTTCGGAGGTGGCTTCAACCTAGGAACAGTCCCTTTCTCCTTCCCCAGCTTGCAATGTCCACGGTGAAACCTCAGCCATAAGTGCCTGGGGCCAGTCTGCAAGGACAGGCACACCCAGACACACATCTGTGGTTTGTTACACATAGTGATGCCCATCTACACAGAGAGGAGAGGAAAGTAGCTAGGACAGAGCTGATCACTAGGACTCTTTGTTAGATGTGGCAAAGGCTTTCATCAGAGTGTGGAGGACTCAGTCACAGGCCCCCTGCTCAGTCCTGCTGGGAACACCAGCTTTGCAGTTTGCCGAGTCTGCACAACTCACTGTGAGACCCATTTCTACCAGGCTGATCAGTATTTTGAGCAGGAGACTTTAAGGCCAGTGAAACCCAAACTGAGCTGGAGGCTTATCTCTTCAGGGCCAGGAAAGTCCCTTCCTGTGGTGAGATGACAGGAAGTGGCAGCCAGTACAGTCTGGGTATCTCTGCACACTCAGGGACAACAGGCTTCCCACTGCTGCTGGCTCTACATTGTGCAATCGCAGATTTTGGCTACTGCTGATGGCCAGAGGACACATATTCTCACAACAGACTGGCTTCTGAGGGCTACAGAAGTTGGTGGGGGCTAGGCCCTCTTGGAGTGCTTTACATCGACAGTTCCCTAGGGTCCAACTGTAATTGCTGATGGTAGTCTTGTCCTGCCCTGGGAAACCCAGGGTCTGGGGGTAGCGGGTAGTGATTGAGTCTGGAGGCTGGAGAGGCCAGAGCAGCTGCAGATGCTGTCCGAACATCATTGGGTACAGTGTGACCAGGGCCTCCGGGGATTAAGGGGACAGTAGTGAGTCTTGGCTAATCAGGTGACTGAAGGCCCAACCCAGTGTCTTTCCAGGCTCACCTGAGCCAGGCACTTTCACCTTCGTCTCCTTCCCAGGAAATCCAAGCCCCGCAGGTGCCCCTCAAGCACACAATTCCCCTGGATTGGCCTGTCCGCATTCCTGTTGGCGTCACTTGCTGATGGTTCTGGGGCTGGGTGGCACACTCTCGATTGTTAGAAGGCCACAGGTGGTGCATCCCATGAAAGAAGATCAATATATTACTGTTTTGTTTTTACAAAAATTAAAAATGTCCACACGGATCTGTACAAGTTGTGAGCTGGACCTGAGGATCACTGGAAAAGGAGGGAAAGACTACAGGTGATGAGGGGCTTGGAAGGTCCCTGGGGTCTTGCCTCTGCTTGGGCCACCCTGCTTTGGTAGCCCTCATCCCACTGTATTTGGGCATGGCCCCATCCCCTCTTCCTAGGCCCTTCTTAGTGGGTCAGTTTGGACACTGTGCAGTTGGGCAGAATCAGAGTTCCAGGAAGCACTGACAGCTCTGAACTGGCAGGCCAGGTGTCCACTAAGGCCTGTATGACTCAGTAGGGTGGGTTATACATAACCAGCCAGGACCATAGTCCCAAGCCTTGGCCACGTGATGGGAGAATCAGAACCAGGGTCACCACAGGGAAACCTGGCTATTCAGTCACTGTGTGGGATGCAGCAGATATCCAGAACTGTGAGCAATGGTGTCCAGCCCCCAGGGCCCTCTCTGACCCTCCGTTTCTCCCCCCACTCTTCCCTGCAAGGTACCTTATGCCAGCATCCAGGCACTGGCAACCCATCAGGGCCCTGGAAAGGAAGAAGGTTCCAGTGATGAGAACGGTATTCTGGCCAGCCCTCCACATTCCACACACTCTGAGTCTGTGTGGAGATGCAGCCCAGAGAGCTGCCAGGCTGCTGTACCCACTAAGGCAGGATGTCTCCTCTATCCATCTGGGGAATGGATGGCCCCTTACTGCACTTGTCCTAGTGTGTTCTCACTGTGCTTGTTGGGACAACTGTGCAGTTGGGCAGAATCAGGAGGACACTATGAAGTAATGGGCATTGTGCCAGACATTTGTTGGCCAGGAGGAGGGTCTGATCCTGGCCCTGTGGAGGGGCTTCTGGGCTTCCCGCCTGGCAGTGATGACAGTGGCTCTGACTCCTTAGCTTGGGGGCCTGAGAGCTTACAGGCCTTGGGCAGGAATGCCTCCAAGAGGAATTTAATGACAGGTCAGGAGGGGCATCTCTCTAGCCCATTCTGGCCCTGTGATGGGATCTGAGTGGCAGACAGGAGGGCTCAAGTTGTCAGGGTGGACTCTGGGCATGGGGGCTGGAGTTGTCTGGAGGCACAAGCAATGCTCACTCAGCCATCAGCCACAAACAGGGGGTGGGTTTCCTTAGGTGGTCTGGAGGGGGACAAAATGCAAGGTCTCTGGGGGACCCTGGGGCAGAAAACACTTCACTCTGTTCCAAAGCACAGACACAGGCCTCAGACACACCGAGCATGTCCCCTGGACTCCTTCCATGCACATACCAGGGGTACAGGCTGGGGACAAAAGGGAAGGGGAGAATGGGAGAACGGACGGGAAGTCAGAAGCAAGGAAGGGCGGGGGCAGATTGTGGGCACAAGCAGCCCAGAAGGCCCAGGACAGCACACATAGCAGTCCAGACCACGTACCACAGGGCAGGGCCCTCTGCCCTTTGCCAGGCTCCGGAAGCCCGGTGCCCCTCGCTTGCCTCCACATCGAGGATGTTCCTGTTTCAAAGACAAAGGCTGTAGGATGGATCCCCCTGCCGCTGGCCTTTTTGTGTATGCTTACCTGTCTGCTTTTTAAAGACTGACCTCTCAAAATCACTCAGTGGGAGGGGCTGCCACCCCCATTGTCTGGGTGAGGAGCCTGAGGCACAGGGCTAAAGTGACTCATGGAAGGCTGGAAGACTGGGTGGGGGTCCCTGGCTCTGAGTCTGCCTGCACATGTAGCTGGAGGTCCCTCTCCGTGAACCCCTGGCTGGGGTGGCTGGGTATGGACATCTGGCCAGTTTTAGTATGGGGACCCAGCTGTTTTATTTCTCTGTCTTTTCTCCATAGGAAAAGTCTGACATGTAAATCCTCCCGCCTTTTAGAAAATAGAACCTGCATGGTTGTTTTAGGCACTGGGCCTAGTGTGCTATCAAGGAGTACTTGTGAGAGAAAAGGAAAGGAGATACATGGGAAGGAGGGAAAGGAAGGGGTTGGGGGCACATAGAGGGGATGTGGAAAAAGGGGTGGACTCCCCTGAACAGAAAAAGACACCTCTGGGAAGGAGAGGACAGAAGGGGAGTGAGAGGCCCCCAGGGAAGGCAGGGTGGTCCTATACTCTTCGATGGCTGAGGAAGCTCTGTCTGAGTCCAGCCTGGTCTCAAGCCTAGAAGGAGTCAGAACCTAACTGGGGCCCCAGGCAGCTAAGACCAGGAGACTGCGCATTCACTGGCCCTGTCCCCACAGCAGCCTGTCCACGACCATTGGGCTTCCTTTCCTGGAACTTAGTTACCCTCCAAGGCGCCCTGATGTTACTGAGGACTCAAGAAAAAGCTAGCTCTGTTCTTGGCCTGGCCCCTCTTTACCCCTAGCCCAAGATGTGTTCCCACTCAAGCCAGTTCTGCCCTGGGCTGAATAAGGAGGGGAAAGTGACTCTGGTGAACAAACTCTGGCCCAGGCTGGGGCCCCATCTCCTTCGAGGGACTGTGTCCCTCAGTCATGCCCATTGAAGAGGGATCAGGACCAGAGCAAAAGGAGCAGTAGCCAGGTGCAGTGGTGCACACCTGTAATCCCAGCGACTTGGGAGGCTGAAGCAGGAGAACCAAAAGTTCAAGGCCAGCCTGGGCAACTAAACAAGACTCAGTCCCAAATAAAAATTTAAAATAAAAGGGCTGGGGATGTAACTTAGTGGTAGAGCATCCCGGGATTCAACTCCCAGGATCTCTCTCTCTCTCTCTCTCTCTCTCTCTCTCTCTCTCACACACACACACACACACACACACATACAGGAGTAGTGATGGTGGCCATGGCAGCTGCGGAGGCCCAGCACTGTGGGCACCCTGGTGTGGGGCTGATGTAGCCTCTGGGACTTTTTCCTGAGCTTTGAGAAAAGGGAAGAAATTGGCCTGACCCTAGCTGGAGGCCAAAAAGACCTGGGTTGGGGCTCCCATCCTGTTGTGACACATACCACAGGACATGGCTGGTCTAGTCCTGGTGGTCCCGGCTCTCCCTTCTGGCCCTTCACTCCTTTTCGGCCTGGAACACCTCGCTCCCCCTGCACACGAAGGGAGATGGTGGAATTCTCAGTCTCCAGACCCAGGACCCCTGCAACACTTCTCGGACAGAGATGACCAAAGGCCAGCAGCCACTGAGCTTCAGTCCCAGCCTCCCCTGTCGCTGCCCTCCCACGGCCCCCAGTCTCTCTCTGCTGATGTCTTGCCTCCCACTTCTGCCTCCTCCCTCTCTCTCCACCTGCCTCCCTTTCCCTCTCCCTTTCCCCTCACCTTCTCTCCACGTTCACTCTTGTCGCCTTTTTCTCCCCGGGGTCCAGGGAAACCCTGACAGAAGGATTAAAGGTTAAACCCTAAAATGAGGGTTCAAGGCCAGGTCTCTGTTATCTGTGCATCTCTCCTCCTCCCCCAGGCACATTTGTGGCACAGCTGCCTGGTCCTCACTGAGAGGTGATGCACATACTGGTGCCAGGTAGATATAGGGAAAAGCAAGCGTCAGGGACACTAGCTCTGCTTCTTCCAAAGCAGGCTACTATTGGAGTCTCAAGATGGGAGTCCTCACTCAGGCAGAGTTGCCAGTGAAGGGTTTTCTCTCGCATCGCAGTCAGAGATAGCTGGCCCAGGTTGGCTGGGGACAGAGACTGAGGACATCCATAGAAGTTTATGTCACCATCCTTGACGGATTGAGAAAGGGTGAACTCTGTTCTTTGACCTTGGCTCCATTTTTTATATGCTCCTCTGTCCATCTATTCAACCAATGTGTCTACCAGGCTGCAGGTAAAGAAGTGGATTCCACAGGTTTCCTCCCTCATGTCTAATGGGACAGGTGGTGGGGTGCTGATGACAGTAGATGTTCAGTGACAGAAGCATGAAACAGGGTGGTGGATTGGGGGGGCAGTTCTATTGACAGGTGGTGGTTCAAAGGAAGTTTCTGATCAGGGTTGCCATTTCAGCTGGGTCTGGGGGAGGAGGGACCTGGGCTTGTCAGGTAGAGCAGGTAGATATGGCTTTAGGGCTTCCTAGAAACCAAATGTGGCCACACTCATGATGACATGGAGCCTCTTTAGTTCACCCTCAGTGACTTCCCTGGGCCCAGAGCCTGAATGAGATTTGGCTTCATCTCCAGCGAAATCTCCCTGATGAGTCATACCTGCCCCCAGTCAGGAACCCCAACTCGCCTCCCTCTTCCTGGTCCACACTTGCTCTCCAAAACAGCATTCTCTTCTTAAAGTCCCGGTTACACACAAGAGCTCTGAGAGCCCTGCCTCTGGTCACATTTCCCTCATGACAGCTGCCTGAGGGAACCCCCCTCCCTTCTTGGGATCCACTGCCTCCACCCACAGCTGCAGGCTGGGCATGTGATCATGCCTGGCCAATGAGGGCACTGCATTCCTATGGCCAAGGGATGGTTCAGTGTTGACCTGGCTGGGACCAAAGACAGCCAAAGAGACTTTCTTTACAGCAGTAGCAGAAGACACATATTCTTTCTTCTGGACTTGGGTCCAGGTAGCTACAGGTCTGGAATGCTGGCTCCACCTCACCTCCAATTTTTCCACTTGGAAAAGCAGAGACAAGAGAGGGTGAGAGGCTGGGTTGTGCCCTGGATCCTTGGGTTGACCCTCTGGACTTTTCAGTTATGAGTCATTCTAAACCAGTTAAACTCTGCTTTGTTTGGGCTATGCTCCTAGAGGAGACTTGATACAATCAGCCCTGGGAGAATGCTTCCTTTTCTCTCTTTCCTACAATTCCACCCTAGCTGAAGCCTCAGCATCTCTCAGCAGGGGCTTCAACAGCATCCTTACTGCTTCCCCCACCTCCTTGCTGTCACACATCGTCCATCCATCCATCCATGCAGCATCTATCATTTTTAACCCATCATCTGTCCATATCTCCATCCATTCTCTTATCTATTCATCCATCTGTCTATCCATACATCCATCCTCCATCATCCATCCATCATCCATCCACAAAGCCCCTGTTTGAGGTTGTGCACTGAACTGAGGACATGGGGAACATGTCACAGTGATGTCAGGTTACTGTATGGGCAACACGAGGGCAGAAGATATGCATAGGAGGGACCCAATTACTCACAGCGAAGGATGAGACACTTACATCTAGTCCTGGCTCCCCGGGTCTGCCCTGAGGAAAGACACAGGCGAGTGAGAGGGGTAGGGAGGGGGTGCTGGGAGTTGGGTGCCGGGAACTGTGGGTTGGCCACAAACTTGGGGGCAGGAAGACTCACTGACCAGACAGGCATAGAAAAAAGGTAGGGGGAATGGCTTGTAAGAGCCACAGGTCTCTGACCCCGTGGGGTGCAGGGGCTGGACCTCAGAGGCTGAGCGACACTAGGGGCATGGGGCCATAGTGAGGCGATTACCTTCTCTCCTTTGGTTCCCGGCAGCCCAATAAGGCCTGGTGGGCCAACTGGCCCCTGGATGGAAAATAAGTAGGTCAAGAGACTGATGGTTATAGGATGTAATACCTCTAGGGACAAACAAGGCTGATGACACTCACAGGCAGGCCATGAGGGCCTCTCTCTCCTGATGTGCCCTTCTCTCCCTTTGCTCCATCCAAGCCCTGGAAGCAAAGGGGAAAAATAAGTAAGAGAGAAGGAGTTGGACAGGTGGCAAGACAGGAAGGCTTGGGGTCCTTGTGGGAGCTGGGCTGTGCCTGGAAGAGGGACAGACTCCTGGTTCTGACAGGCCTGGTCCCAGCTTCCCCGGGTAAGAATGATCAGTGAACCATGGTTGTATACATGTCCCTTTTCCCATACAGGGGCTCCCTCAGGAATCATGGGAGGGCGTTATGGTGACACCTATCCCACAAATGAGAAAGGAGGTGCCAGGGATGAGTCCAGCCACATGGCCAGGAAGTGGCAAGGCTGGGTACTAATCAGGTTCCTGAGCCCCAGCCTTGGACCTGGTCCCTGACAGCAGCTGCCTCTTCTAAACAGGCTCTGGGGAGGCTTGGGACAAAACAGAACCAGAAGCAGTGCATCTGGTTGGCTCCCATGCTTGGCCCCACTGTGTCAGGGATTCCATGACTTGGAGTCCCCAGGCTGTTCTCTGAGCTGGGGAGGCAGAGATGTATTCTCCCCCTGACTAAATGAGACTCAGGCGTGAGAAGGAGTGAGGCCAGCTGGCCCTCACTTCTGTGTCTGCCTTCTCAGGCCAGGCACATGGCAGACCACACTCGAGGTTTTAATTTAAGAGCAGAGAACATGACATTGTGAAGTACACACCAAACAGACTTCATGTTCAGGGCAGTTGAGAGACAGATGTGCACTGGGTGGTGCAAGGAAGTGGGAGGTGCAGAGAGACGGGGAGAAGTGGGCAAGAGGGAAGATGTAGAGGGAGATGGACCAGAGAAGGAGATAGTCTGGGGCCCCTGGGCAGACGGAGAGGGAAAGAACAGAAACCCAAGCATGGAGGTGGGGGACATTAGGCAGGTTACAGTCCAGGGTACTGAGAGTGTTCAGGCCCTGGAAAGACTCAGGGCTGGGTCCAGACTGAGGAGAGGGCCTCACTGTATTCATTAGCAAGGCTTTCTACAATGGCCCTCTGGCGTCTGAGTGAGAAGGGAATCTTCATCCACTTACTTTGGGACCCTGGATTCCCTGAAGGCCCTGGAGGAGAAGGAAAACTGATTAGAAAGGCCACTGGGCTGGGTGCAGACTTTGGGCCAAGACATCAATCACGACAGCTCCAGGCTGCTCACTGGCTCCTGTGGCCCTGACCCCGGTTCTGCCCTCTTTGTCTGATGCCCTCTGCTCCGACCATGAAGAATCTTGTCCTCCCCTGGGTTACTGCCCTGGGGCCTGGGCTCAGGGCTCACCACTGTCTTGGTATCCCAGCTGCTTTAAGTGAAATTGTGCTTACCATGGGACCTGGGGGTCCAGGCGGCCCGGGGGGGCCTGGCTCCACTATGACCTGGGCCTAGGAAGGGTCAAATAAGGGTTAGTCACCCACTGCCCGCTGTCCCTCACCTGCCCACTCAAGAGCTCATCACCTAATGGTGAAGAACAAGGTGGGGGGGGGGGGCTCTATCTTGTCCCCAGGAGGGCACATTCTGGTGAGGGACCCAGTGGCTGGCCTTTGGGTTCTCAGTTGGGCCATGGGTGGGGATGCAGCCTGAGCCTCCCTTGCTGCTCTGCCCCCACTGCCCTGGGTTGGGTCAGGCCCTGTGGTCTTTCTGTCCCAAGGCTCAGGGTCTCCACTGGACCTAGAATGGGTGTTAGGTGGAGCCCTGAGCCTCAGCAACCCCCTTACCAGGCTCTCCTGTAGGTTGTCAGATGCTGACTCTCCCTTCTCTCCCTTGGGGCCGTCAGCACCCTGCAGGATGGGTGGCTTGTGAGTCCTTCTTGTCAATCCTAAAATCATCCCTGCAGTGCTCAGCTACTTCCCCTTCCTTCCCCCACAGGGCAGCAATAATTTGGCTTTTGCAGTTTAAAACAGTTTTCCCCAAATCAGTGTGACACACCCTGGAACGGGAGCACGATGGTACATAGACACAAACAAACTGTCTGGAGGTGCCAGGATGGCCGGGGCTCTGGAGCAAATACCCAGGTTCAAATCCTAGTGCTAGCGCTAACTCAGGTGGTCAATGGCTATGAGGTGACAGGGCTCCCAGTGACTGCTTAACACCTGGCAACTCTTCCAATTCGGCCACAAAAAGGATAACAGTAAAAATGATGATGGGTGGTGTGTGCGTGTCTGTGGGGGGTAACTGGGTGCTGGCTGCTATTCTTAGCCTGGTCTGCTTTCTCTTTCAGGAGTGGGAAATTAACATCCCCACTTTAGCATCAATGAATCAGAAGCAAGAGGAGATTAGGTCACTGTCCAGGGTAGAAACAAAACCAGAGGTAAACTTGGATAACTTGGGCCAGAGCAGAGTCCAAACACTCGGCCACCTGGCTTCCACCAGGCGGGGCCTCCCCATTTCACCTTTAGGGAGGCCTCCTTGTGGAGCTGCTTTTACAGAGGAGGAGGTAGAGACTCAGGGCAGTGTCCCTAAGTGTCCCTCTGCAGGGGTATGCCCTGTCCTTCCCAGCATGCCTTTACCACTGTCCCTGCAACCCCTAGCAGCCACCCTGTGGAGGGCACTCATGCAAGTTGGGACCACCCCTCCCCAACATCAGGTAAGTTGGTGGGGCCCAGCCCAGCCATATACCGGAAGGCCAGACAAGCCCATCTCGCCTGCTTCCCCTTTGGGTCCAACTGGCCCAGGCTCTCCTGGGTCTCCTTTTGGTCCTTTGGGTCCCTGAAAGTCACAAGAACAAGAAATTGGTGGGCATGCTTCCTTTTCCCATTCTGGTGGGTCCCTGATCTTGGTGTGGGTGAGGCCAGACTTGGCCAGACCTTCCTGCTTGTGGGTCCTGACTTCCTTGTGGGTCTATATAGCATCACACATACACACTCTCTTTCACACCCACTCACCCACTCCAATACCTAGCACCCAGGTAGCTGGGAGCCTTGGCTGAATGCACTGGGGAAATTGGAATGAGGAGAGCAAGGGGACTTCCCTCCTCTGTCTCCCTGTAAGCCTGGGGTGTGGGTGGCAGGGGGTGGGGGTTTGGGTGGAGGGGGAACATTTGGAACTGGGGCAGCCACCTTGGAGCACTCGTGGAGTCAACTTTATCCTCCCATCTCAAGGGCTCTGAGTCAATGGCAGATCTCCACTAGACCAATTATGTCAGTAAAGACATATAACAAAGGACACCCAGGGATATGCTTATGTCTATATGGACTATACCCACAACCACACACACACACACACACACACACACACATTACAATGCCCAACACCAACATCAACAAAGACATTAAAATCCCAGAGACCTTCTCTCCATCGATTCCTGGGGCACCAGGCAATCCAAGCTCACCCTGAAAGGGAACAGGCAATAAAAGGAGTTTAGTCCTCTTTCAGCTTTAGAGGAGGGTTGGTAGCCTGAGGGAGGGCTGGCTGCCTCCCTGATCAGTGCATCATCCCTGGGTGGGATCCCTGCTGTTGAACTTCTAGAAGGGCACTTGCTGGGTGCTAGGCACTCTCTACCTCCATGTGCTCAGCTCTTCCAGGGCAGGTGCTGTAGCCTAGGGCTGTGAACTACAAGCTGTTATGTTATAGATTTGGAAGTTACAGACCTGAATCCCAGAAACAACCATGCCAGGAACAGACCCTGCCTGACTTTAATATATTAGACTCTTTTTTCCAAGACAAGTAGGCAGGGTATAAATAGGTACAACCCCGGGAATGCTGTGCATGTCTACAGGACTGTTGTGATGTCTGGAAGGGCTGATTTTTCAGTTTCAATATGTGAATGATTCTTCCAGCAAAAGCAGGTAGCAAGGGCCAGGAGAAAAGGCACTCAGATTAGTAGGGAAAGATCAAGGTCCCTTTCTCTGAGACCCCAGAAACCAGGCCAAGATACTAGGAGGGAATATGGCAGAGAGGAGAGGGGAGGTGCACCCTGGAGATAAGAGCTTGGGGACCATGCAGCTGTATTTACACTGACCTTGGCTCCAGGGATCCCTGGTGGCCCTGGGGCTCCCTGTGGCCCAGGAGGACCCTGTGTATAAAAGTCAAGCTGGTCAGTAGTTAGATAGTCCCACCCAGCTGCACTGCCCAGTGTCCCTTCCACCTGGGGTCAAATCACTGTCCAGCAGGGCTGAAAGGAGGGTCCTTGCAACCTGCTTCCTACCCAGTCAGGTCATCCATAGGACATATAACTTGGTTTGGCCCCATAGTCTTGGGAGAGGCAAGGGAGGTGACATCCAGCATTGGATGAGATACCACAAGTGTCAGCTTCTCTTCCCAATACAGACACCTTCACAAACACTCCTGCTCAAGATTCTGTAATGGCTCCCTGCTGTCCCTCAAAGGAAGTTGAAATCCCCTGTTGGCTTTCAAGCCACTCAGAAATCAACACTCTGAACAGTGACCTGGCCCCACTATCTCAGCTTGCCCTGTGATCTCTCTGACCAACTGACTATCGCCTGCTGTCTGCTGGCCCCAAGGAGTTCCTCAGTCAAATGGGTAGGGGACAGGGTCTCAAGTGTTTCCAGTCTGATCCTATTTCTGAGGCCCTGTCCCAGCCCAGGCTTCCTGCAGGTCACTGACCACCATGGCTCATTATCACCCCTTACTCAGTCTTCAGACTTATGCCCCTTCCTAAAGGGCACACCCTTCCCAGCTCCCCTGGTTTGACAAAGTCTTGTCCTACCAACTCTATACTCAGTCCTCCCAACCAGTCCCCTTCCTGTTGGCCTCTCCACTTACTACCTTTCCTCCACACCTGCCTCTCTGAGGGGCTCCTTGCCTACAGTTCTCCCCGACATTCATGCACCTTCATTCCCTAGCCAGTGTGGTTTTTTTGGGAGGTCATTCTCCTGCTCAAGAACTGACTATGGTTGCCTATTGTCCATCAAATCAATTTATCATCCTAATCTGGCATCCAAAATCCACCTTCTGACTCCCTGCACAGTAGGGCTTCTCCCATGTGGCTCCTAGCTAGCTCAGGACACACCATGCATGTGCACGCCCTCAGGGCCAAGTCGCACCATGCAACACCATGCAGGCCCAGAGTGGGCCATAGTTACCATCAACTTGTACTTCCCCGAGGCCTGTGGGAGATAACTGGAATTGAAGCTTGGGTGGGGTCAGGTACCAGTGCCCGGTCTGGTCTCTGATGACCACCCTGTCACTACCCCAGCTCCTTTCCCTGGTACCCATGAGCAGTTGGCATCCTACCTCTCTCTCCTCTGCTCGTGGGTCCCAAGTTTGCCAGTCAGAGGTCATGCATTTTTTTCAGGTTCCTGGGACAGACCCTTCCCCACTTATCTTCCCTCACAACAATTATTAGAAGATCCTGCCCTTTAGTCAGCTAGGTTTAGTGACCAGGAAATGCTCTGCATTCTGCCCTTGAGTGGGGAGCTTCCCTTTTAGCTTTAACCTTTGGGGAGTTTGTGGGGCACATAACCACGTGCACAGCAGCTCTCTGGGTACCACGGGGTCTCAGAACAGCACTGATTGCCGTATCTGGACCTAATAGAATTGAGGCCTTTGTGGTGAGCTGCCCCTGGTCCCTTTGTAAAGAAGTACAGGATTAATACACAAATTGAGCAATCATTCCCTCAGGAAATGAGCACCAAGGGGGCACCCTGGTCCCCCTAGGATCACTACCTTAAGGGCATCCAGGATCCTGCCGTCATAGTCGATCACCACAGTGTCTCCTTGCTCGCCCTTGAGGCCTGGGGGTCCCTGAGGCAGGAGAATGAGTTTCAGGGAAGAGCTATATTGATGGATGACATGGTAGCTGTCTCTGCGTCATACCCAGAGATGAGGATGACAGAACAGCCTGGATACCCAGGCCCACATGCAGGCCTGTGGCACTGGGGGTCGGCTCCCCAGTGTGCGCAGGCCTCAGATGTGAGCTGACAGGACCTCAGCGTGTGAGGGAAGGGGCAGGCAGGGGGTCTGGGGTCCCACTGAGGAATCACCTCCCCCTGGCCTGAGGGATGGCTGTGATTTGCCTTCATGTGGGCGTTCAAGCCCACTGAGGCCTGACCCCTGAGTTCTCAGAAAAATGGAAAGCCTAATTTTGATGAGAAGCTCTTCAGACTTTTAAACATTGCCAGTAAACAATACCAAAACCAAACCCTCATCCCCCACTCCCCCAGCCTTCTGAAACACTGTGTACACCAATGATGGACCCTTGTGGCTGGATCCGCCTTCGGGCCTCCACTTCCCAACCTCCGCCCGAGGCTGCACAAATGTGCATCAAATCCACATTCATTCCTGGTTGTGTGCACACTGCCCGCATCTGCACTTGTCCACACCCACAGGCGCTGGCATGTGCACTGCTGCAGGCCTAGCTCACCCCCTCTGAGCCCCACTTCTCCACGGGGGCTGATCTAGGCCAGAAGCGAAGGGTCAAAAGCACTTTGGTTCAGGCTTAGAGTCAGCCCCTGGCATGCGGTGGAGAGAGTCAGGCCTGGCTGGTCTTGTCTCCTAGCTTCCCCAGGGCCACGACCTGTATGGAACTGTCCAGTGTATACACGAACCCCACACTCAGTGCCCGATCTACCAGCCACCTGCACAGCCAGGCTGGGGGTTCTGACCTATTCTTTGGAGGAAGAAGTCAGCTACCAGGAGCAAGAGGGGCTGTGGTTGCATCAGGTGACAGAGTCAAGGATAGAATTCTGGATATTAGTGTATAAAAGTACATCTATAAGGACTGGTTACAAAGATCTGGGGCCAGCTGGAGGGGGAGCTGTGCCCCTCATGAGAGGCATGAATGTCTATGTGGGGCTGGGAAAAGCAGGTTCTACCCCACAGTGGGCAGGGCCATGCTGTATGACAAATTGAGGACCTATGTTTGAATATGAAGAGTCTAGAAGACTATACAGTCACCCGTGCAGGGGAAGAACTCTTATTTGATAAGAGGTTGGGACTCTAACTTTTACATATCTGAATTTCAACTTTCAACCACAAGCATGGATCAGGATATTTTAAACAGTCAGTAAAAAAGGTAAAAAAAAAAAAATTAAAAGAAGTGCCTAGGTCCTGTAGCTGCTCTGCTCCTCTGGGGTCTTCTGCAGCTACTGGCCCCCCTGCATCCCACTGGTATGGCCCGAGGGGAGGTGGCTTACCCGGGGCCCTGCAGCTCCGTCTGTGCCTCGGTGGCCAGGCTCCCCCTGTGGAGATACACAGTTGCAGCCTAAAGTGTGGGACTCCCTCCCACCCCCTCCCACTTCAGTCTCCTCCTCTCAAAAGGGCCCATGCTGGAGTCCCAATGGCCTGCATATAAGAAAGGCCTTCCAGGAGGAGGATTTCCAGAGAGAGGACATATGAGACCCTATTCTGACCACATACTGTGAACAGATGGGGACACTGAGGTGCAGGAGCCTAAGGGTACATGATGGGTTGGCCCAGGACAGGGCCCAAATGGAGGCCTTATCACTTACCCAGATCTACTGCCCTCCCACACCCCAATGCCACCCTCTGATTATGAGTCCAAGGAGACTCCTGGCCCAGGCCTGCCCAGGACTCCCCATTTAAAAGGCAAAAAAGAGGTGAAACTCCATCTGTCCCTTGTAACCGGGTGATGGTTTGAATGGGGCCTTCAGATGCTGGAGCAGAGCACTCTAATGTCACCTTAGGTCCTGGGGCACCGTCCATGCCGTTCTCTCCTTGGGGCCCAACATTCCCTGGCTCACCCTGAAATACAAATATTCACAGTGATAGCAAGTGCTGGGAATAGGCGTGAGGTTGCCCCGGGGCTGCTGGGCCTTGCTAGCAGGCCTCCTGGAGTACATGCCTCACCAGGGGAAGCGAGGTGGACCTCAAGGCTCTTCCCAGCCACAGATACCAGCTTCTGGTCTGGGTTTTGGCACACACTTGAGGCAGCTCAGGAGTACAAGAGACATTTTAGAGGCAGGCTGGCCAGGACTTGGCTATTACAAGGGTTTGGGGGCTCAAGGTGTGCAGATGATACCATGTTCCTGGCTTGGGAACAGGGTAGAGAGTGGGTTCATCTAAGATGAGAACAAAGAGGCCTTGAGGATGTGAAGGAAAGCAAGCGGCTGGGTAAGCTGCCAGGTCTGCAGGCAAGTGAGGTCTAGAACTTTCCTGCTGCTTCCCTCTGGCCTGCCCTGGCCACACCCCTATGATGTGAAGGGACTGGGCGGGGGCCTCACCAGACAGATGGCCACTGTGGGAGGAGTAAGGCAGAGGGACCCATGGGGAATAGGCATATACCTACCTTGGGCCCTGGGGGCCCAGGGAGCCCTGGCTGGCTGGGTATCCCATCATCCCCCTGAGGAGAAAAGAGTTGAGGCTGCAGACATCCCACCTGGCCAGATCCTCTGATGGCCTGTCACTCCTCCCTCCTCTAGACTCCCAGCATCCCAGTCCATTCCTGGCACCAGCACCAGGAACTGCAGGTTCCTCCTCCCCTCCTTAACCCTCTAGGGCAGGGGTGGCATTAGATTCATCTCTATTCCCTGCCCCCACCAGCCCAGAGCCAGCCCCAGCAGGTGTTTGCAGAAACGAGGGGTGCACAGATAAATAAGAGTAAATTCATTAATTCATTCATCAAATATTTTGTGGGTCAGACAGACGAAGTCTCTGCTCAGAAGGAGTGACAGGAGGACAAGGGGAAAGAAATATTTAAATAAGTGGAAGGTGTCATATCAGGAATTAGCATAAGTTTTGGGAAAAGAATATAAGAGGATGGCATGATGGAAAGGAATTTGGGGGAGAGCCTGTTTTAGCAGGTGGCCCAGGGAAGGACTCGTGAGGAGGGGACAGTGTTGCTGAGAACTGGATCGGGAGGAGGAGGCCTAGTCATGGGAAGAGGACTCCAGTTTAGTGGTTGGTTCCCAAGTTGGAAGTGCACATCACAGTCACCCAGAGGGCTGCTGAATCAGACCCCAGGACCTCACCCCCAGAGTCTCTAATTCAGTGGGCCCAGAGTGAACCCCAGAATCTATATTTCTTTCTTTTGTGGTACAGAGGATTAAACTCATGGTTTCATGCATGCTAGACAAGTGCTCTACCCCTGAGCTACACCCTCAGCCTGGAATTTGCTTTTCCAACAAACCCCCAGGTGATGCTGACAATGCTGGTCCCAGGACCATACTTTGAGAACCACTGATCCAGCCCAGAAGTGGGCATGACCTCGGTGTGTTTGAGGAAGAAAAGAGTGAGTGAGTCTGTGAATAAATGAATGAAATCCTGGCTCCACTGAGATACAGGACAGGGCAGCCATCCACAGTGAGCACTCCATGGAGAGAAGGGGACCCTCCCCATAGGGAAGCACCATCCTCATCCTGGTCCCCTGCCCCTGCTCTTCTCTCCAGCTACTTCCTGTCACTGGCCAAGAAGCATTTCCACAGGGGCCCCTTACCTTCTTTCCAGGAATGCCAGGCTCACCCTGAAAGGGAGACAATAGGAGAGCAAGAGAGAGGTCAGAGTCACAGGAGCATGGTCTACACACCAGACCCATTTCTCTTTTAGAAGTGGCACCAATGACCCACAGCCAGTGCCAGCCCAGAGACCCCTGAATGACCCCTCTAGAGAAATGCACGTGGGCAATGAAGCTCTTAGATTCTGAGTCAGTCACCCCCACTGACCCTGGGCAAGTCACTGCTCTTCAAAGTAGGGAGGTAACTCCCCCAGCCTCAGAGGGCTGTTGGCAGGGTGAGAGAGAGCTCCCCAGGAAGCCCATGCTCACAGCAGGTGCTCAATAAGTGGATCTCTCTTCTCATCCTTCCCTTCTCCTCATCCAGTGTCTCCTTCAGGAGATACAGCATGGGGGTAGGAAGAAAAAAGAGCTGACATTGAGCGGGCTTTAAAAAAACTAACATGGATGAAAACTTGTGACCACACAAAAACCTGTCCCTGGAGGTTGGTAACAGCTGTATTCATAATTGCCAAAATTTGGAGGCAATTGAGATGTCTTTCAGTGGGTGATTGGGAAAATAAACTGGTACCTTTCAACACTGGAGTAACACTTGGCCCTAAAAGGCAATGAGCCATCAACCCATGAAAAGAAATTGTGGAACCTTAAATGCATACTTCTAAGAGAAAATAGCCAATCCCAAAAGGCTACATACTGTCTGACTCCAACTGTGTGACATCTGGAGAAGGCAAAGCTAAGGAGACAGTCAAAACATCAGTGGTTGTCAGGGATTAGGAAGGAGGAAGGGAAGAACAGGTGGATTTTTAAGGCAGTGAAATGACCCTTAGGTTCTAGAATGAAGGGTACATGTCATCATACATCTGCCCAAACCCATAGAATATGACACCACCGAGAATGAACCGCCATGTCAACTCTGGGCTTTGGGTGGTGATGTGTCAAGGTAGGTCATCAACTGTGGCAGACATACTGACTGTGGTCCAGGATGTTGTTAATGGGGGAGGCTGTGCACATGTAGGGGTGTGTGCAGAGGGTGTATGGAACTCTCAGTACCTTTCACTCAATTTTGCTGTGAACAGGAAACTGCTCCAAAAATAAAGTCTATTAAAAACAAAGCAGCTAATGTGTTTTATGATTCAACTCTCACAGCCCAGTGTGAAGTTGAGGCAGGAAAGGTTTATTATGCTCCCATTTAATAGAGGGGTAAACAGAAGCCCTCTGCAGATGCAGTAGCCTGGGATCTGGGCTACTAACCCATCATGGACCTGGAACTCCTAACCCTTCTGCCTCAGCTTCACTGGGTGGAGTGGGGGTGGGGGGAAAGGTGGTAGTGAGGGTATCTGTCCCCCAGGTCTGGGGAACAGGAGGAGGAGTGAGGAGTACTCACCTTGGACCCTGGGGGTCCCTCAGGGCCCTGGAATAGGAGAAGAGAAGGTGTTAAACATTACACTGGAGGCTGATTCTAGGCCTGTGTTCTTTATCACCCTCCTTTTATAAAGGGTGACATCATGACAGGAAGAGGCAGGCCTGTCACTGGAATGGTGGTGGTGCATCCAGTACTAGGACCGACTGCTCATTCTTTGGACAGCTGCTGCATTAGGGCTCTAGACTCCCACCCAGGACTCCAGACTCCCATTCTGGAAGGTGGGGCTATGGGAATTTGGTCCCAGATGGGTGCCTTGCACATCTATTTCCCTGATGCAGGCAGAGGGCAGGAGTGCAGGCATTTGCACGCTTATAGCTTCAGGCCTCAGGCACGTAAGCATTGCAAGCATGTACACAGGCACGCTACATGGTCCCGGTATGGGTGTGTGTGGCAAAGGGGCTTCCAGGTCTGGCAACTACAGCCCTGCCAGCCCTGGCCTCTGAAATGCCCTGGATACTGACCATCTCTCCATCTTGTCCAGGCTCTCCTTTGGGACCCTGAGGGGACATGAGAGAATAGCAATGAGGATCCAAGAATGTCACATTTAGTTGAATCCATTCAACTCACCATAGGCCCTGGGCTGGGCTGTAAGTACATGATCACATTTCATCCTCATCCAACACTGAAACAGTGGGCATCATGTCCCCATTGCACAGATGAGAAGGTTTGAGAAGGTTAAGGCTTATATGCCCAACATGATAAGGAATAGGTAAGCCAATTGAGTAGCTACTCTGGTGTCAGTAGGGGACCCTGTTGGCAGTTTGGTGGAGGTGTGGGCTCTGCACTGGAGGGGAAGGACAGGTTGGAGTCCCTGGAAATGGGTGGTAGAAGGAGATTTGGCCTCCAGGGTTTGGGTTAGGACTATAGGAGGAAAACTGAGGCTAACTAGTTAGCGCTGAGGAGAAAGTGGGGCAGGGAGAGGAGCAGGGGTTGGTGAAGATCTGCAGAGAAATGCCCACCTATGTGTTGCAGGGTCAGAGTCAGGGGGTCAGGATTGAGACTGAGATTGCAACTAAAGTCAGGGTTAGGGGAAAAGGATCTATTTGGAGTAAGAGTTGGGCTTGGAGTTAGGGTCAGATTCTATAGGAGTCAGGGTTAGGTCTGGATAATAGTCTGAATTGGGGGTGTGGACTGGGATTTGAGAATGAGTTTGGGGTGAGGGTCTTGATTAGGGTTAGGACAGATTAGAGTTAGATTTAAGGCTTGGTTGAGGGTTAGGGTTAGGGTTAGGTTAGGGTTAGGGTTAGAGTCTAGAGTCAAGGACAAGATTTGAATTGGAAATCAATGGAGTTGGGGTTTAGCATTTGGATTGGGTGAAGGTTGGTGTTGGGTTTGTACTAGGGATAGGGCTGGAGTTGGTTCCTGAATCAGGGCTTGGGGTTTTGGTCAATATAGACCCACGGTTTGGGTGCTCCAACTCCAGGCCTTCTCTTACCACTGGGCCTTGAAGTCCCTTGGGGCCATCTTTCCCAGTGTCGCCAGGAGGGCCACGGGCCCCAGGTGGTCCAGGGGGCCCTGGAGGCCCAGTAGCTCCATCTTGCCCTTGATCCCCCTGAAAGAGATGGGGTTTGGTGTGACCCTGAGGGAGAGGGGAAGGGGTACCAGCCTCCAGAGAGAGGATGCATGTGAAGGGAATAATGCTGTGTAAAAAAAAGCCAAACTCAAGAGAGTCACACGCTGTATGGTTGCAGCTATGCAGTGCCCTTGAATAACGAAATCATACAGATGGGAGTTAGTGGTTGCTTGTGGTTAAGAACGGGCGGGGAGGAAGATGACCATGAACATGAAAGGGTAGCATGAGGGAATCTGTGTGTATCTACGAGTGTGATAACATTGCACAGAACAAAATACACACCTGAACACAAATGAGTGTATGTCAAATTGAGGAAATAAGAATCAGGTTGTTGGGTTGTAGCAACACAATTTTCCTCCTGGTGAGATTGCTCTACAGTGATGCAAGAGGTCACCATTGGGGAAAACTGGATGGAAGGTGCATTGGGTCAGTACCACTCCCCCCACCCCCCTGAACATAAAGGTACATTGGGTGTTATTTATAACAACTGCATGTGAATCTGTAGCAATCTCAAAATAAAAAGCTTAAAAAACATAAAAAGGTACACACAGTCTTCTCCAACACTAAATTCGCAGTTCTTGGACCCAATGTTAGTACTGGATCAGACCTCAGGCAGCCAGAGCCCTCACCTCATGGCCCCAGCCCACAAGGAGGGAAGCCCACAGCACGACTGGCACCTTTTTGCTGCCCTAGTAGGGCCTGCCCAACACTGGCATAGGATATATAGTAAAGGGCACATCCATCGTGTCAGCAGCTCCCAACCTTCTTGTAAGCTGAAGAAGGAAGAAGCCTTTTGTGGACTCAGCACTGAGCAAGCCAGGGTCTCCTGGAGGTTATTTATTCAATCTGTGTGCTGAGCCAGCTAGGCACTACTGTTGTCTCATTTTACAGAAGAAGTGGGCGGGGGTCAGAGAGGGTGATCATTTACTCAGGATTACAGAGCTAGGAAATGCTGAGTGTCCTCTGACTGCCAAGGCAACTGGTCTCTTTTAGTATATGTGCTGCCGAAGCGAGCACCAACTGGTCTCTTTTAGACCTTTTTTTTTTTTTCAGATGAATCCCTACCCCACCATGATATGAAAAAACTCACCTCTCTAGCCCGGGTCCTGATCAAAGGGTTATAATTTCAGATTAAAGAGAAGAAAACTGGCAGTATAGTTGTTTGGTCACCCAGCTTCAGGTGGTGAAGGTAGCAGGTGAATTCCTGTTTCATTTAGCTCTAAATCAGGAAGAACTTGATTCTCCCTCCTGCAGCTCTGAGGCCCCATTTTGGGAACCATCGGCCTGGATCCTACTTTTTATTTATTTATTTTTTAATATTTAGCTTTTAGTTTTAGGTGGACACAGTATCTTTATTTTTATTTTTATGTGGTGTTGAGGATCGAATCCAGGGCCCCACACATGCTAGGTGAGCGCTCTACCACTGAGCCACAACCCCAGCCCTGGATTCTACTTATTCAAGCATAAAACTTGAGCTCCTCCTAGGGGAGGTTCTCAGCATCTCTCAGGGCCATGGCTCCCTCCTCCCTCAGGGATTGGATGACTGAGGTCTAACCCTGGAAATGTGGGGTGAGGAGAGGGTGGGGGTGCACGGCAAACCAACAGGCTCAGACCCCTCACTCGGTCAGACTACCTTGAGGATGCGGAGACTGTACGCAGGATGGTCTCTACTTATAAAGCCTGGATTGAGCCGTGGGAAAACCATCTAGTCAGCAAAGGGTTGGGTGGTCAGAAAAGCAGGAGGGGGATTTAAAAAAAAATCACAAGGCTATTTCTGTAGGCACAGTCACCTAACCCAGCTCAGAGAAAGGCAGCTTGGTTGTTCGGTATGCAGACTGCCTGCTCCAAAGATGGCTGCTATGCTGGCTTCTGGCCCACAGGCTCTTCTACAACAAGGCCTTCCCACTGCCTATCAAGAGCCAGGGCTCTTTCTCTTCCTACTTGACTCTGGGTGGGCCCAGTGACTGACGTGACCAATAGAATGCAGTGGAAGTGATGCTATGTCCATTCTGGGTAGAGCTCTTCACAGTCCTGGCAGCCCCCACTTCCTGTCTCTTGAAACGCAGCTCTTAAGATTCCTTCTAGAAACCCAGCCGCCATGTTGGGAGAAGCTGGAGATCTGTGGAGAGTCACATGTGGATGCTTCCCAGCTAAGCTGCGCTGGCGGTGAACATGTGAGGGGACCATCACCTTGGTCTCCCAAACAGCTGCCTTTCATGAGAGAGACCCTAGCCAGCCCAGGACATCATGAGAGAGAATGACAGACCATTGTTTTAAGTCACTAAACTTTTTTTGGGGGGTGGTGGTTGGGAAAGTTGTTTCATAGATGACTGGAATATTGGGACAACAGGGAGGATACCCATGAAGTGGGAAAGGGCTAGAGTGGGGGGACATCTGCTCTTCCATAACTTTGGGAGTCAGAGGATTTCTAGTCTGTGGTGGAGTAGGCATCCTCATTTGGAAGATAAGCTTCTCTATATCCACCAGAAAGAAAAAAAAAAAAGGGATTTTTCTCAGCAGCTACAAAAAACAGGAGTACCTTTTCTTTGACTTCAGGGATATCTTACCAGCTTTATGCAGCCCTGGACCTGGCCTTGCCTTCCCATCAGAGGCCCCGCACAGGAGAGCTCTGTCCTGGGAACTCAGCCCCTTTCCTGCTCCCAGCTCATGATTATAACCATCCTGTGATGTAGGCTCTACTGTCCTCATTTCAAAAAATAAACCAGGCTCAGAGCCATGAAGTTGCAGAGCAGGGGCTTAGGCCACCAAGCCCAGCCTATGCTGTCTGCCCTGTACCCCTACTCCCTACTTTCTTTCTTTATTATTATTATTATTATTGTTTTGGTACTGCAGATTGAACTGAGGGGTGCTTAGCCACTGAGGAAAATCCCCGGCCCTTTTTTTTGTATTTTATTCAGACATAGGGTCTCACTGAGTTGCTTAGAGCCTTGCTAAGTTGCCGAGGTTGGCTTTGAACTCATGATCCTCCTGCCTCAGCCTCCCACAGGGATTACAGGTGTACATTACCACACCTGGCCCCTATTTTCTTTTAATTATCCTGTAAGTAGTTCCCTCCTCCAGGCCCAAGTGGCTCATTCTTCCTCCATTCCATTCCTACCTCCACTGCAGATGATTGATGTGGGTGACTAACTTGGGGCTATAGTGTCCACCCCATAAGATTCTTAGAAACAACCAGAAGTACACCATGATCCAGCCTTTCTCTGGGCAGCTGATGTCCATCTCTCAACCTCTCTAGTTAAGGCTCCCTGCTGGGGCCATGCTAGAAATGGTCAGGGCACCTGTCTACGGCTGCTACTTAAGTGAGCCTTTACCGAGACCCACTTTAGGGTCCCCAGCTCAGGTTCAGTTTCTGTTGGAGGGAAACCCAAGTTCAGCACAAGGCACTTCTGAGTTCCTAAGCCCAGGGGACACTGAGGGGCAGAGGTAGTTTGGGAGGAGATGCAGATCTACTAATGGGCTCTGGATACTTTTATGATCATAATAAATCTCCACAGCAACCACTGTGATAGGGGCTATCATCCAGACCCATGGTTGGAGCAACTGAGTCTCAGAGGGAAAGGTGACTTGTACAAGGTCACTTAGGTGGCAGAGCTGAGCTTTGGGGCCAAATCTGCTGGCCTCAGAGCCTTCCCTTTTTTGGAGTACCAGCTGCCTTCAGGAAGGTCAGTCTCTGGTCTGGAACCAGGGCCAGCTCCATCATCTGGTCACCCATGCTGACAAGGAGAGGGAATGGGAAATATACCAGGTATTCACCACCTGGATGGGATATCACAACCTTGGCCAAACCAGGGTGTCTTGGGGGCTTCCATGGTGGGAGGGTGGTGTCACTTGCCTCTGTCTGTGATAAGCTATAGGGAGCTGGGACCCACAGGAAATGCTAGATGTGCTTTATTATAATAACATGAAACAAACCACATGGGGGGGTGAGGGAGGTGATGCTCCATTCTTACCCGGGGGCCAAAGTCTCCTGGTGCACCCTAGAAACAAAAAAACAAGGGGATAGATCACCAGAACAGTCACTGTTTGTTCACATTTCCCATTGAGCATGTACTCTGTGCTCTGTGCTTTACATATATGGTCTGCTTAATTCTAACAAAAACAACAGGCAGGCCCCATTTTTATCTCCCTTTCCAGTGAGGAAATTGAGTCACAGAGAGGCCAAGTAATCTGTTAGCAGATTCAGGGTTTGAAACCCAGGTACTCTCTTATCTATGACCAGCTCCCAGATATTTGAGGCCTCAGACGTGGTGGATCAGGCACATCTGCTTCTACTGTGACCTCTTAGAATCCCTGAGCCTTGGAACAGTGAGGTATGGTAAGGATTAATTGTCATATAAAGTCATCAAGCTTTGGGGCAGTGCATCGTGTAGCGACAGATACCAAGTCACTAGTTTCTCTCTGGTCTCAAAGCCCCTGCTTCAATTATTTCTGTCTTGGTTGAATCAGTTAGAACGAGTGAGAAGGCAATCATGATCCCTACTAACTATACTAGTGTCTCCTCATCAACAAAGAACATGCAGACCATGAATCTGTGAGGCTGGTTTAAATTTATAAATGGGGAAACTGAGGCTCACAGAAACAGGCAACTTGCCTAAACCCACAGAGTTGGTGATGGAACTGGAATACAAAATGGAGGCTCTGAACACCAAATCCTATGCCTTTCCATGGCTTCCTCAGCCCTGATGGTAACCTGGAACCCTGTCTTCCCTTACCTGAGTGGTCCTATTACACCGGGGTCCACCATCCACCAAGCTCTTGCTTCTCCATCTCTGAATTCTGGGAAGGGATGGATGTGGCCCAGCCATTTCTGGACCTTCCCTGGAGGCCTTCAGTTGACCCTGCCATACCTAAGTCTGCTCTGGTCCCTCTCTCCTCTAATACCACCATCAGGGACACATAAATCCCATCCTCCAGGATGCTGCCTGTGACTTTGACTACCAAATGCTAGGGAAGCTTTTCTCACAGCAGTCTGCAAAGAGCTTTCTGCCACCTGTTTCCCTGAGGGGGTGTCCTCCCCACAGAGAACACCAGTAACGGTCCTTGTTCAACTCCCCCCAAGTTCTCTTGGCACTTCTTCATTGTTCGTTTATTTGGGAATATGTCATTCTGGACAGAATTCAGATTCAACACTCCTGGCATATATATTATCAAAGGTAAGTCTTGTAACCATTTTAGGAGGTAGGCATATGTACTTGTCCCATTTTATGGATGGGGAAACTCTATGGAACTGGGCTCTGGAGGCAGGTTTCTGGTTTCCTTCATCAGCCTCCAACATCTGGACAGTCTCCAGCAACACTTACCTTTTCCCCTTTGGGGCCTGGAAGTCCCTGGGGAAGGAAGGTGGAGAGAGAACAGGCATGAGTGAGGAGGGCTAGGTTGGCTGCCCTTCTGGCTGCCCATGGCTTTGAGGGCACAGGGGCCTGTGATTCTGGGCAGAGGGGAGTGGCTGGGTGGAGAATCACATACAAGCCTGTCAGCCCTCAATGACAGCTGCCTTCATCGGCTTTATGGAAACTCATATCTCAGTCCTCAGCATGAGGGAGATGAGGGTTTGGGGATCACCAGTAAGGGCCCATGGACATCCTTGCAGCAGAGAAAGGGGCACATGTGTTAGTCACTTCTCCTAGAAGTCACAGATCCTCACTGCTCAGCACACCCCTGTTCCAGATTCTGGTAAGGAGGCTACTGCCCTGAGGTGTCTATTGAATCTGCAAGGCAGGCAGTAGACAGAGATCTTGTCTCCAGAAGTGACAGCCCCTCAGAGGCTCCATCTACTCATCTCAGCTGGATGAGTCATCCATTCATCCTTCCATTCATCTGTCCGTCCGTCCGTCCGTCCATCCATCCATCCATCCATCCACCATCCCTCCCTCCCTCCATCCATCCCTCCCTCCACCCACCTACCCAACCTCCGTCCATCTATCTGTTTGCCCATCTATCTATACCTGCTTATTTATTTGTGTTTATATCTTCCTGTGCGTCTTAATCATCTGCTGAGGACACCCAAGGACCATAAGCTCCTGGCTCAGGTGTTGAGAACTTCTCAGCCTGATACCACTGTGGAAGTCTCAAGAATGAACAAGAGACACTTGGAACCCACTGGGAGGGGCTTGCAGACTCTGAGGGCTGCCTAGATACCAGGGACTGACTGCACTGTCCACCATTGTTCATAACCCCACAACATCCCTGTGAGGGAGGAGTGAATACACCCATTTGAGAGATAAGAAACTTTAGACTCGGGGCTAAAGTTTTAGAAGGGGCTCCTCATGGTTGCAGTCAAAAGATGGACACCCAGTGGCTTCTCTTTGGCTGAACCAGGTTTCCAGTGGCCCCTTCCCTCAGATGCCCCATGGTCACTCCCAACTCTGCAGGGGCAGCCTTGTCCCAGGATCACCTAGAATTGCCTTGTCACTTACGGGCTTGCCATCCAGACCCAGGGGTCCCTGGAAAATGAGAGAGAGTAAAGGTTACACATGGGAACAGCACTTCCTCCGTGTTGTATGACCCAGAAGTATCGTTCAGTGATAAGAAAATGAAGACTGTCCTGAACCCAGAGGTCTGAGTATATCCCGGGTGGACTCGGGGAGGGACGGTGGGCTTCTGTCCATTGTCTGATACCCAGAATTTCCTCCTATGACAGCAGAGTCCATAACACCCCATTGTTTGGGCAGGGTTGCTGGGGATGGCACATGGCCACAATTCCCTTGGCCAATGTGACAGGTGCAGGCATGAGCCTGTGGCCCAAGCTGAGCCTTGAGTGTCATGTTTGGGACTTCAAGGGGAAAGAGGACTCTTTCCTTGCAATGGGGTTGAGCTTAGAGCTCTGGGGAGGTGATCATGTGACTTGAAAACGAGCCAACAGAGCAGAGAGCAGAGTTGAGAGACAGAGAGTAAGGCAGGGCTGAGGGCCCAATGCTGCAGCTACCTCTGCACACCCTGTGTGTGAGCTAGGACTGTGCCCCCCTTGAGCCAGCCTGAAGTGAGCTTCTGTCACTTGTAACTGATGAAACCCAAAGGAGCATCCTGCGTGGCTGCAGCTGAGAGAAAGCCACAGGGCAAGTCCTGAGAGATGGGATCTCAGCCACCTCTAAGGTCTCTGGTGTCTGCAGAGGGCCAGCAGCCATGGCACGGGAGCCTTACAGAAGCCTCACCCAGTTTCCCCTCCTGGCAGGGCTGCCAAGGAATCCAACAGGTGGGAATCCTGCAGACCAGCACTGTTTGGTCTCTGCCATGCCCTCTGCTCCTTCCCTCCACTGTCCCTTCATTCCTATATACTTCACTTTTGACCCCAGCAGCGTTTTCTGCAACGCCACATTCTGAGTCTCACACATACTGCCCACTCTCCCAAATTTGTACCTTTCCTCTCAATTCCTTCCTCTTCTGTGAAGCCTCCAGGTTTCTCTACTTCCCAGAGTCAGGCCATCTGTCCCTGTTCCCAGAACATATATTCTAAGGGTTGCACACGGCATGACATATGGCTAATGTGTGTCTACACAAGTCCTCTCCAGTAGAGCCAGGAAGAGGGTGTGATCCCCTGTGTCTCCAGCGCTCACATGAGGCCTGGCATGGAGCATGTGCTCGGGAAGTGTGTGCTGAGTCAAACTAAGAAAACAGAGAAAAAAAAAATATGTGCAGATACATATCCAGGTTTAGTAGCCCGTATCTGAAATGCCTAGGACCAGAGTATTTTGGAGTTCCGATTTTTTTTTTTTCCAGATTTTGAGATATAGGAAACCCAACACTTTTTGTGCACCAACATGATATCACAAGTGGAAAATTCCACACTATGAAACTTTGTTTCATTTATTAAATTATTAAGAATATTTCATAAATTACCTTCAGGCTAGGTATGTAAGGTACATATGACACAGATGAATTTCGTATTGGGTCCTATTTCCCAAGATAGCACATTAGGTTCATATAAATACAGGTTGGGTATCCCTCATCTGAAATGTTTGAATCTGAAGTGATTTGGATTTTAATCTTTTTTAAATTTTGGAGTATTTGAAAAAATATTCCAAACTAGAATAAACTGCTGGCTTCTCTGGCTTGAACTCCAAACTGCTCTCAGAGGAATCACCAGATCAGCCAATTTCCCAGGTGATGCAAGAGTCTCTACCCTGGGGAGGGCTTGTTGCCAGGGCCTTGTGTCTGCCAGGAAACCAGAGCAATTCTGAAAACTGGGGACTGAGTGCTTCCAGCCATCAGCTTCATGGTCAGCTGAGGGTTTGGACATCAGAATGATGGCCTGGGGACAGCTGGGATCCCAGGAGAGGGGACTGGGGCCATTCCAGTCTTGGGGGTCCAGGTCCTGAGGGACCTTGGTCAGGGCCTTGATCCCAGCCACAGGCACAGTTCTGGTCACCACTGGAAGCTGCCCTAGCTGGCCATGCTCCTTTTTCCAGGTCCTGGCTCTTGTGACCCGTGGATCCACAGGCCCGAGACTCCTGCCTTGAGTAGAACACTAAATTGGGCCTTTCCCCCCCTCAACCCGCTACTCTCAGGCCCTGCTAGGCCTCTTCAGGGCTGTGTCCTGCTGGATGTCTCTGCTGTGGACACCTCACTCAGGCCTGACTCTCTAGGCTGCCACAACATACACTGGGTCCAGTACCAGCCAGGGTCTCTCCTGAGAGTTCTCTGTGGCCCCCACACTTAGCCTTAATCACTGTGGCAACCCTATGGGGTAGGTCTTAATACTGCCCTATTACTGAGGAGGAAATCTGAGGCCCATTGAGGGGAAGACCTCACCCAGGGCCAGGACCAAAGCCCCCGTTCCTGGCCACCCTTTCCCCTCTTGTTTGGCTTTGCAAGTCTCTATTGTTCCCATTGCATCCTAGACAGTGCTTGCCCACTGGCCTCCAGTCACCTCTTCTAGTGTGGTTGCCACCACAGACCATGCCCAGGCTCTGCGAGCATGGAGTGTCTTGCCAAACTGTTGAAAACTATGCCTGACTCCTGCACATCGCGTGGACTAAAAGTGCCACAATGCAAACCAAGAGTAAAAAACGGTGAAGGCACAGGTTGGAACTAAATAAAGCTCTTTCTTCTTGTTATTCAGACAGGAAGGACACAGTAAGCCCTATAGCTAAATCACCTAGGCATTGTCCCCAGGTCCCTTCCCTGAACAAATACCTATAGTCCATATATGGCCCTGGAGAACTTTCTAGAATGCAAATATGATCGCAGTGGTCTCCTGTTTGAGGTCCTCTATGGAATCTCACTCATGAAGGAAAACATCCAGATCTCCTAGTCTGGTGCCCAAATGACCCCTCCCCATCTCAGGCCTGGGCACTCCCTATGTTCTACATATCTTTCCATGGTACCTGTGTCCCATTTTGGCTTCTTCCAGGGCTGGGACTACCTTGGCATCATTTCTGGGTTCTGGGACCCAGTTCCAGGATATCTGCTAGGATGTCATGAAGCTCACAGAGCCAGGGTGTTTCACTTTTCTAGAAGTGTCTGCAGAAGGGAGCCCAGGATGTTCTTTGTTCTTGACCCTAGAGGGGGCATCTCAGTGCTGCCAGCTGTTGCTGGAACTGTTTGGTGGCCAGATTTCAGCTTAGAGTGACCACAGGGCTCAATGCTGCCCTCTGCCAACTCTGAGACTGTCCTTGGTGGGTCATTGATGGTACAGCCTTGGTCCCCATGGCTTCTTTCATGAGTGTGAGAAGCCTCTCAAGTGTCAGAAAGCCAGCTTTCCCATTGAGGGCCCTGCCTACATTTGAGACGACAGAATGCTTGACTTCCAGAACTTGGAGTTTAGAAAGATTTGAATAGGAATCCAGGGTGGTGATGCACAACTGTATCGCAAGGTACTCCGGAGGCTGAGGCAGGAGGATCATAAGTTCAAGGATAGCTAGGGCAAGATAGCAAGACCCTCTCTCAAAATAAAAAAATAAAAAGGGCTGGGAATGTGGTTCAGTGGTGGAGCACTTGCCTAAATGGGTAGGTCCCTGAGTTTTATCCCCAGCACTGTAAACTAGCTAACACTAACTAACTAACTAACTAACTAACAGATAGCTTCCCAATAAAGACAGAGGTGTGGTATAAACAGAGCTACTGGAAATGCCTATTGTGGAGTTAGAGGAAAGTCAATTCCAGTTCCACTGGATCCCAAGCCAGGAGCTGATGGTTCGTGTATTTCCGCAACAAACACACGAACTTCACTCATAAATACTGACAGAAAAGAAAGTGCCAGAACCTGGTCTTTGGGATGGAGCAGACCAACAGCTCTGGCCTTGGTCTGTGGAGGTGGCCATGGATTCATCTGTGATGACATCTGAGTAAGAAGACTGTCCCCAGGCCTCTAAATGAATTTTCTCCCTGAGCCTTGGAGTGGCTTGCTCTATGGCCCCCATTTCAAGGTCTGGCAGAGTCAAGGCAAAGAAACTGTCATATGAGTGTCTGTGAACGATCTGTAAACTAGATGTTTCTATGGGCTGGAAAAAGGGTTGAACCTGGCTTTAGTGCTCTTGAGAGAGGGACACACACCTCAAGGAACCAAAATTGAATAGGGGGTGGGGGTGTCAAGTTGGACCAAGGAGCAGGGCAGGGTTCAGACTGAGAGTCCAAACCAATAACCAGCCAGTTCTGAGCAGAACAGGGGCTGTTCAGGAAGGGTAGACTCCCCAGACTGGGCAGATACCTGCCTCCCTGGTGGGAGAGGGGCTATCTCTCTTATCAAGGTAGCCCTTCCCTGCCTCAGTGAGTATGATGCTGACCTGTTGATTTGCTACTCTCCTCACATCTCCAACAATAGCAAGAAAAGTAGCTGGGGTGGGGTCAGGAGTACCAGCAACTCACATAGTGCAGGCAGGGGCTTGGGCCTTGCTGGACCTCAGTTCAAATCCCTTCTCTGAGCCTCAGCTTCTTCTTACAGCTGCCACACCACCGTGGCTGTAGGCTCTCCATCTCTGCCTGCCTCCTCCCTGCCTGATCAAAGCCGTGGAATCCACCAGAGGTTTTCAACGCCCCCTGCCCACTGTGAAACCCCACAGCTGCTTACCAGCCTCGGGTCTGCTTTAACTCACTCTTTCCCTGAGGAGAGCAGCTGGCCTCCTGGATGCTTCTGGGTGTGCAAGAAGCAACAAAACTCTGGGCTGCACATGAAGGAGAAGAGACAAAGCCTCCAGCACTGGCTCAGCCCCTTGTCTCACTGAGGGACCCACGTGTGCCAGAGCCTCAGTTATCTCATTTGTAAAATTGGAGGCCAGGACAAGTTCAAGTTGAGACCCAGGTCATTATCCCCTGTTTCCTCATCTACCAGACAAGACAGGCAGCCCCGTGGGCAAGCAGACATGGAACTGGGGTCTGCATTGGTCTGGCTGGGCCAGTGCTGGAACTGACCTTTGTGTGGCCAGCAGGGGGATGCCAGGCTGCTCTACCTGTTGACACCTGTTATCTTGGGGGTTTGTTCCCACTGTCCTTCACCCTATTGAGGCTT